CATCAGAACCTTCTCATTTTGGACAGTGTTATTGGTCAATTATTGGGAAAAACCACATACAAGATATGTGTGGGGTGATGTTCTCTACTTTAAGGAGTGGTTCGAACAACAACCAGCACCAAGACAACAACAAGTGAAAAAGCTAATTAAAACAAATAGATTCGAATTTGTCGGAGGAGGTTGGATTCAAACAGATGAAGCTTGTGCATCATACACTTCAATCATTAACTCAATGACTGTAGGTCATGAATATCTTTTGAGAAGATTTGGAGTGAGACCGAGAGTTGCTTGGCAAATTGATCCTTTTGTAAGTTTTCACATCTCGAGGAAAGATTAATATATGATGATGAATTAAGGGTCATGACGGAAAAATTCCACAAATATTCAGTCAAATGGGATTTGATGCTCTCGTAATTAACAGAGTTCACTTTTCCATCAAATCTGTAATGAAGGACGAAAAGGCATTGGAATTTATTTGGAACATCAGCTCAAACAATACCATCTTCACTGAAGTACTTCATACTCACTATTCTAGTCCTAGAAATTTTGATTTTGAAAAACCAGGTGCGGAATTTATCAATGATCAAAATGTGGAAAGAAAAGCTCACGAATTTATTGAAGACATGAGGAAGAGATCTTCAGCATACAGAACACCATACATTCTTGTTCCAATGGGCGACGACTTTAAATTCAGAGATGCCGGAGCCCAATTTTCAAATATGGATAGAGTTATTCAGTTTTTGGATAATCATGATCTAGGAGTTAAGGTTCAATATGCCACCACTACTGAATACTTTAATGAATTATTCAAAAACTACGGTAGCAGTACCAAGTTCCCAGTCGTTAAACAAGACTTTGTACCATATGCTGACTACCCAGATAGTTATTGGACTGGTTACTTTACCTCCTTACCAAACCTTAAAAAGTCTGCCAGAACTGCTGAATCAGCGCTCACATCAACTGAAATGTTGTATGCTCTTGCAAGAGTAAAGATGACTCACCAAAATAGCATGTTCAACTGGGTAGACACATTTAATACTATTCAAAGATCTAGACAAACTGTTGGGTTGGTACAACACCACGATGCCATTACTGGTACTTGTAGAAGACATGTTTATAATGATTACATGTCCCAACTTGCTTCAGTCATTCAAGATATGAAGTCCCTTCACAAATCACTCACTCAACACGTTTTGGAAATTGATAGTAATAGTGTCTTATCAGATAGTTTGGATGTTACCAATGATGATCAACATTCTATCATTGTTTACAACAGCTTGTCCCACAATATCAAACAAATAGTTACTGTGAATAGCAAGTGTTCTTTGGCAACTATTTTGGACTCTGCCAAGAAAAACGTCGAATATCAAGTCATTCCAAATGTG